TTTGATTTTTTTCCTTGAATAGGTGGGTGCGCTCTACAATTTTTGGACACAGTTCCTCTTACTGGTTCTGTTTGGCCATTTTCAACTTTTTGCTTATTTTTTCCATTCTTATGCGCTTTTCTGTGTCCCGCATCTGCTCTTTCCTCCGGAGAAGGTTTGACGACCCTCACCTGTTGAGCACAGTGCATGCCGTGTGCAGAACCTCTTTTACTAGCTGGAGGAACTCGATCGACTTCCTCTGGAACGATACACATCGCTTTGCTTTGACACACGGCCCACCTTGCGTGGTGGACACGTATATGCACCCTACTGTCGATCCCCTTTCATTTTTTCTGCCTAGATGCCCTCGGCCGTCTTCTTCTTTTTTCCCAACTATGGATACCTTGACTCCTAATTTACTGAGGGCATTAGTTCCCAGTATGATCTCGTCATTTCTACTTGGGCTAATGTGGAACGGCACAAGGCCCAGATTCCCTCCTTCCAACTCGGCCTCAACGTATACCGCTCCCAGAAACTCCATCCTCTTATTCGATGCGTCAAGACTGGCGTAAGCTGGGACTTCTCTACCAGTTTCAGCGCGTCCACATTCACTCCTCTATCCTTGTGCTTTGCTAAAATATCCACGGGTACCACACTAATCATCGACCCTGTATCGATTAGTGCTGGATACCTACCACCCAGCATACTCAATTCTTTTACGAATCGACCACCTACTAACTCATCTGCATTTCCACATTCCCTTTTGACTCTCATTCCAAGACTGCGAGCTTGGTTAATGATCTCCGACAAAGTTTTCTTCTCAACGTTGTCCTGCTTTCTAACATGGTTCACTCTTATTGAAGGCTGAGGGCAGTTCCTGGCTATGTGGCCATACCTCGAACATTTGTAGCATTTTCTATCTTCGGTACCCCCTTGCTCGTACCCATGCTGAATCGGCGTACTGTGCTGTGTCTGTCTCTCAGGTTTGCTCCGAATGTTCGAAGCTGTTTGGTATTCGCTCTGCCAGCCTCTTTCTCTTGGGATGGCCGTCTCTTCCTCCCTGACGTACTCCAGCGTATCGTGGGGAAATTCCGTCTCTTCTGCGGTACCCACATGATCACGGTTACGGTAATGTGTGGCCCTGCTCTTCCACCGGACTCCACTTGATTTCCTACATACTCCAAACATAATTTTAGACTGCTCAATGCTTAGTGCTAATTGTTTGATCTCCTCATACGCCTTACAGGGATCCACTCTATGTAGAGCTCCTACCAGTTGAAAATGTTCTGGCCAATCACTGAGACTGTCTAGAAGAATTTGAGCGTACTCTAACGACCGTTCCTCAATCGTACAGTCTGGATTGGCCCGTCTTCCCAAATTTTCTAGAACGATACAGAACTCGGCTACCTCCTGACCGGGTCTCATTCTTAGGTTTCTGAGCTCCGTGAGCGCTCTCATTCTTCCCGCTGTCGACTCATGCGACAATAACCTGGCCATTTCTCTTATAACCACATCTAGGCCCTGCTCCTTGGTGGTTCTGGGGAGGGCTGAAAACACACTTTTTGCTCGACCCCCAAGATGATCGTCTCCAAGAATCTCCATGAGGGTTGCTTCGCATCCTATGACTTTCTCATATTTTCGTCTGAATCTTCTCACAAACTCTTCGAAGTTCTCATTTGCGGCACCTGTAAACACCCCAGGGTCCCCACACGCCATTGACCTCAGGTACGTCAGTACTTTCTCGGATACTGACGCATCTCTATCTTCCCGGGCCAGCAGGGTCGAATCCAGTGACGTAGAACGTAGCCATGTGTCATCATACCTCTGGCCCACCGAAGGCACTGCCTGGAATTCAACGGTTCGCCTCCCGTCCATCGGTACGGTTCGTTGACCCATCCTGCCTTGAGCCCCTATCGACTCTCCTTCACGCTCCCCGCGCTCCAGAATAGCAGCTATTTTTCTCTTTACGTGCCTCACATCAGTTCTCAGTACTTCACAGATTTCTGTCATCACTTCGCCATCTTGCTCCATAGTCCTCACGTATTCTCTCCAGTCCTCAACACTTTCGATCCCTCTCTGTTTCAAGGTTTCAGTGATTTCCTTTTCTAAGAGTGGAGATAAGCTTTTTTCTGCTTGTTTTCCCTTCCAAAGCTCTCTCATCTCTTCAATGGCCCTCATCCAAACGCCCTCCACATCTGCCCTGGTTTGGTTAGAAAGCCTCGATTTGCCCAGGATTTCGTTCGCTCTTTCTTGAGCCTCACGCAAAATTCGAGAACAACCATCCCATCCTTGCTCTGGGACCTCAATTTCAAACCGTCCCTCTACCGTATTGCGGAGCTCCTGGTTCACTAGCTTCTTATCCTCCGTCATAGCTTCGTTCTCCATCTTTGATTTGGCTTCCTACTGTGCCTTTCCTCTTTCCTCTGCTATCGTGTCAGTCGATCCTCTTGCTTTCGGAGTCGACCCACCAGATCAATACCTTCCTTTTTTCCCTTTACTTGTCTCTTGTGCACGGTTATTGGATACTCTTATAGTCGCTTTGGTTCGGCCCCCATGTAAGGTATGATAGTGGTTTGCGACGTAGAGTAACCTTTAACTGTGCTCAAGACAAGTAGAAAAGGAAGGTTTATTGGTTAGTCAAAATCAACAACAACAACGAAAGACAAAGATCACTGGAGGTGGACGATGTCCGAGGGCTGGGCGACCACTGATCGGAGGTCCACAACAGGTGCAGGGCGTAATCCGATTCCACCTGTTGAGCCACGAAGGCTTTTTCCGTCGAGCCACTAAGGCTCTTTACACTACCCGAGTCACTGAGACTCTTCTCAACGGCCACTGAGGCCTATTCAGCGAGCCACTAAGGCTCTTCTCTTCAGGCCACTCAGGCCAAGTTACTGAGCCACTGAGGCTCCTCTCTGACAAGCCACTAAGGCTCTTCACCAAGCCACTAAGGCTCTCTCTCCGGAGCCTAGGCCCTCCTTCCTACGGACCGTACAGCTCCCAACCAACCACACCGATAAGGCACCACACGATGCCTCTGAAACTGGATACAGGTACACAGGAACACCAGAGCTCTGGAACACCGGAGCTCTGGACACTCACGCCCAAAGATGTTGGCCCTCTGTGGCAAAAGCTGGAATTCACATGACCCCCGCCAGATAACCAGCACCTCCTTACTCGATATACCGATCAGCACCGAGCCCAATCTAAGCTGATCTTCGAGGCGGATGTTCCTCTCTGACACATTAGTATGTATTTCAGTTTTTATGTTGGCCATGTCAAAAGCAGATTTTGAATGCTATCTTTTGTTTTATGAGGAGAGAAGAGATGCAGAAAGGCGGCGTGCACTTATGGTAAGACATTAGAGCATTTCGAAATAGTTTATAAGCACTTAAAAACCAGCGTCTCCCGATGGATGGGTAATACTTGAAGCTGATAAGGCACTTGTTTTCGCGGAAGAAAAATTCGGTCCTCAAAATTTACTGTTTCCATCTGCACTTTGCACATACATCCAGTACTTTTTTGAATTCTAAAGGAATCTTGCGCGGAAAATTCTTGCACTCTTTCCTAACATGAATATGTCAGTTGTGATCACTGGAAATAGCACACAAAGTTTCACGCATGAAGATTCGGTTTCTGAAGAGAAACAAACGTACAAAAACTACACGTTATGGACCATCGAAGGACCAGGAGGCAGAGCCAGGCGAGGCATGGAAAGAAGACGGCGTTTGGCCGGCTACGTACCAGGCGACGCAATGAGAGAATCGGGTTAAAGCGCGATTTCGGAGAGTGGAGACAAATCGATCGATGGAATAGGATGGAGTAGAAGTGTAAGATGTGAATGCAACGAAGCAGAAGGCCAGAAAGAGCTTCTAGTGAATGCACTCCAAGAACCAAGTTTGAGCATCCCCGTCGCCAGCATTCGTGAAGACGTCCGTGGGCAATTCGAACGCGTAGCAGCCTTTTCGAGTTTTCGAATTTCTAATCAAAACGAAAGCAATACTTCAGTTCTTTTCACTATTATCGTGGATAATGAGTCTCAAGCCAGTGATTTATGGCTGAAATAGAATCATGATTTTTCCGCGCAAGACTCCTTTAACATTTCTCTGGTAGGAAATTTGAAAAAATTGCATCAATCTTTCTTCGATGATGGTGGGTTAGGGCACGCAGATCATCAAAGAAATGGGTTCAGGGCATTAAACGCATGCTCCAGGATCAAATTGGTATGGTTCTTGCATAAGCATACGAATATATTGGTGCGAAATGGACCAGCAGACGGAAGAGACCCGTTTTTTACACAAGAAATCGCGTGAATCTAATAATAGCAAGCGAAGGACGTGTGCAAGTAAATTGCATTTTAAGTGGACACCCACGATGAATTTGATGTGTAAGAGCGCTAAATAGTAAAGGTGGAGGCGGCGGAGTGGACAGAAAGTAGAAAAGAATAATCAAGGACCACCGAACACTCTAAAATTATGATGCTGTACATTCTGCAAAGTCGCTCGTGGTCCGACAGACGCCGAAGGAGCACGCGGTGCAAGAGAGCACCAGCACATAACCACCGCACAACGACCGATAGAAATACCACTCATGACCACTAATCCAAAGCAAGTTCTTGACACTCTTGTCGCTCAAATTCTTGCCGTTTGACGCCGTCTTTAACCTTCGCAAACAGCCCCGTCCTAATCATCGAACGGTGGTTATATGCCGGTCAATTCAGTCGTAGAGCCCCAAAGCGGTAAGATTGCCAGCAAAATTTTTGGCCAGTCTTGTGGTAGTTAAGGGCTGCTGTAGTCCGCAATACTGATGATACGCGAGTTAAGCACTTATGTCTAAGCGGTCTGCAGAATTCACTTTTTTATACGGTCTCCAGTCATGTGCTATTTGAATGGCTATTCAAGAGTTTCTAGGTCAACTTGAATAAATTCTCTTCAAACTGGGCAAATTTGAGGGTCGGTTGATCGACAAGACTACTCGCATGTTCGGACTGTCTCGTGGGTGAACCGCTATTGTATGGTTTTGAAATGATCCGCTGTGTGCTTCCTGTCCAACTCGACGGCGACATAGCTGGCCATTGTTCTTTTCGTGGGAAACTGCCACCTAAAAAGAATTGGCGCTTCGCAAGTTGACAACAATTGCAACGTTTTCACATGAAATCTTCATCCGAACAACTCGTTTAATCCGAGCACTGTGAACCGTACATTCATCAGATCATTAAGACAAATTTACAAGCTAGCGGGCGAATAAGAAACCTTACACAGGCGACGGGGTATCACCTGTATCACCTGTCGTCCCGTTGATCATCGAATTGCTCGAGCGGGCGCCAGCAACGTCTCCATTCGTCCCTGTCGCGTGCAAGAGTTGTCCAGTGGACCCTCCTCGCTCGAGGGACACGATGTCCTTCATTCCTTTCGTTCAGAGCTTTCGTGAAGAAGTCTGACCATCGGGCCGGCGGTCGTCCAGGTGTTCGTTTGACGTCCCGAGGGATCCAGTCGGTAACCGCTCTGGTCCAACGGTCATCGCAAAATCGCATGACGTGTCCGGCCCACCTTATCTTCGATTCCTTGGCGAAAACGGCAGCGTCCCTGATCTTCGATCGTTGGCGTAGTTCGGCACTCCGGATTCCCCTCTGCACTTGCGTGTATAGGGTTACTCCTAGCATCGTCCTCTCGACAGCGCGTTGGATAACGCTGACCGCATGCTCGTCCTGCCTGCGCAGAGTCCAAGTCTCTGAGGCGTAGGTTAGGGCAGGAAGGACAGCGGAATCGAAGAGGTGGGCACGGAGCCGGATGTTCTTCGTCTTCTTCACTACTCCCTCGATGTTCTTGTACGCTCCCCAAGCCGCTCGTTTCCTCCTGCTCAGCTCTGGAGCTAGATCGTTCATCATATTGATTTCCCGACCTAGGTACACGTAGCTGGAGCATTCGGTGATGTTCGTTCCGTTGAGCGTGAATGGGCCAGGGGTACTGTGTGAAAAATAACCCAAACAAAACATTTTGCCAATTAGCAATTTGTGACAGAACCAACAGAAGACTATAAGGACTAAAGCACGTCAGAAAATGACTTTTGTCTGAGCTAAAGCACTTTTCGTGTTGTTCGAAAACAAGACACCAGCGTGCTACTTCCGTCCCTCTGTCGAAGAGCAAAAGGACTACAAGGTCACTGTTTCCGGACCAAAGCCGAACGAAAAGCTTTCGTTACGGACGTCGTACTTCGTGTAATTAGTCTGGTATGTCCTAAGCTTGCTTAGCAAATGCTGTGTACGATTGTTTCAGCACTACGCTAGCTATCTGAATGTGCACAGCTTTGTTGGGAAAACTGTTCGCTAATGGAACATTGCAAGGGACCCAAAGTATGACCTTGGATGAGCATCTTCATTGCATGAGCGCACAGATCACCGCTGAGGTACCCAATGAGTAAAGGGAGAATGGCCAAGTGGTGAGCACCTCTTAAAGGGAAAGCCGAGTGAGTAAGTCAAGGCCCTGTTCTTCACACACAATGTTGATGAGGCCATTCCCAAGCTTCCGTTAGGATCTGTTCTTCTTGTTCTTATACTTCACGTTTGTCCCGCTTGCTGGCCGCTCCGCTTTTCTGAAGTACTGGCGCCACTTTTTTCCGAATAAATGTGTTCGAATAGGCTAACTAAGGCTCGGTGCTCCTTGGGTGTCTCCAGAGCAGGGTCAACCGTCCGTTCGAACTATTCGGGAAAGGTGGGGGGGGGGGAGGTCGCTCCTCTTCCCACCCTCCGCTTGGCGGTCGTTTTGAGAAAGCGGAGCTGGGCTGTGTCGACTGGTCTCAGAATCAATATACAATCAAAATAAATGCTTGATCGGACTGGATGCTAATCAATTTCAATTATTCGTGCAATCTATCAAACCAGTGTTGCTTTGATAGTTCCCTAGGCCACTTTGCGGCCATGTCAAGGCCGCAAGGCCGAAGGAGGCCTCTGCTACTTCTAGCCATATCTTTCGTACACTATCGCCGTTCGCAGGAAGAACGTACCGTGCTGGCTTCGCGCATTTTGCCGACAATTGGAGCTACACCGAATCGG